CGACATTCGTTAATTGTATCTTCTAAAAGAAGAAGTCATTGATAAGAAATTTGCGATTACGTTTCTTAAGATAGATTATTTATTCAACAAACCTGACACGGATCCGACGAGTTCATCATCGCGTCGAGAAATATCTGAGCAGACTCCATCTGTTCGCATTTGAGCAACATAGCATGCATACTCCTGTAAACATTTATGCAAAACTCTCTGAACTGATACACATCGTCCAGTCTAGCTGCACAAAACTGACAGATCTGCTTCGGCAATGGATCGCTCTTGTACACAAGTACAGGCAGGCAAGCACGCAGCTTCTGCACCACCCTACGTTGCAGACCTTCGTCGCCAAAGATCGGCAGCATCTCGTTCCTCTCCTCCGAGCATAGCCGACAGACCTTGTCCCACATGACCCTGTCTGCGGCCATCGCTGGATAGAGATTCGCGTCCATCGTGGGAAGGAAATGCGTTCTCGACCTGTCTCGCTTGCCCGTAGTCAAGACCCAAGATACTGTGATCCGCGAATTAGGTTAGCCGACGAACCGCACCATGCGCGACGCTGGCACGGTCGGGACGCGTTGGCGCAGGCATACCCTGCCGACAGTGCCGACGTTCGCGCGGATGATTCGATAATACTGGGAATTCGGGGAAGATACGAGGAAACGCGCACCTGTTCCGGAGGAATCAACTTCGCTTTCACTTTCCTCTTCACTTCGCGCGCAGAGAACTCTCAGTCTTCGATGAACGCACGAAGTTGCGAACCGGTTCCCCGTTTGCTCGCCGTTCACCGATATCCCTCGGACATTCCGCCCCAGAGGTAGGCAAAGTTCTGCAAACTGCAAAGTCGTTGTAGCGCTCTCGAGGCCGTTTGCATCAGTGCTCGCCATGCGCCATGCGGAGGCCAAGTCGCCAACTCTACAACTCTTCAGCAACTCTTCTCAAATCTTCTCCGCTACTTCCACCCGTTTCCCTCCTTATTCTTCTTTCTCTCTCTTTCTTCTCTCGTCACCGCTTAGGCTTCAATTACTCCGAATCTACTCGAATCAGTCGAATCGAAGAATAGAGCCGCGCGGAGCGAGGCCTGGTCTTGCCTGGCCTGGCAGGACGCAGGACCACGCGGCGGAGCTGGGAGGAGTGAGTGAGAAAGCACAGCCAGACTCGGCTAAATGGGACGCTTCGATCTTACAACGGCCGTTTTGGGCTCGTGACGTCAACCGTGATGATCGAGACGAGGCAAAATCCTCGTACGATTTCCTCGAATTAGCCTCTGTAACCCAAGAATGCGACCTTCATCTGTCTTCTTCCGGAATTGTGACACTTCCGGATTCGTATTTATTTACCTTCCTCACAGACTCTTAAGATTTCGTTTCGTCATTAAAATTTTCTCAGGGCTGTGTTCAGATTCCTATCCAAGTGCCATTCAGGCATCACTTTATCCTTGTTGTTCATCGAGTGTGAATTGAACAAGGATAAAGTGATACCTGAGGAGCACTTGGATGAGACTTTGAATGCATCCCAGTGTATGGAATTTGTCTGGGAAATTTAAAGATCTTTTAGCTTCGATTTTTTTATTAAAGTCTATTCTTTTCTGAAGCTGAACTTCTTACATGGTTCATCCTTTTTCTTCACATGTTGGAGAAAAAAAAAAGGAAAGATAAATAGTACAAAAGAGTTCAGCTAAAAGGAATAGACTTCAGTATGGTGAGATTTTAAAAGCAGTTGTTAAAATTCGAAATCATGATTAGGGCTTCAAAGGATAGAAAAGGATACTATATACTTTTACACTCCCAGAAAATGAGAATGGATTAAAATGGATTGAAATTTTTTTCTATCCGAATGCGTTTATTTTAAATAGCGAATACTTTTTTTGGATTTAATTGGATTGAAAAACTGCATTCCCTATTCAAAATTTTGAATTGAACACTATTCACAGAAAAAGCTAATATTATTTTTAGATTGAAAAGCATAGAGATATGCTCCATGCAATTCCTATAAATGAATAAAAATGCATTCAGGATTAAAATTAGTTCAATAGAATCAATATTTCTGAAAATCTGAATCCATTTCAATTCATTTCAATCCATTCTCGTTTGCTGGGCTGTTATCTTTTATAATCTTCTCTATTTTTAATAAAATTTATTGCACTATTGATTGATCGAACTTTTTTTTTTAATGTGAACTTTATTTCTTTCAACATAACGGACTAATAATAAAAGCGAATGCACTGCTTAAAATTGCAGTGATTTACAGTATCTGTCGAATATTTGTTGTACAAAACGACATAACTTCGACGAAGGTACATAATACTTCTCTGATATTTCATCATTTCTGTTAGATATTTTCATAGTTAAACCTGACACTTACAAACCGCGCAAATATCATATAAAAAAAGAAATTAATTCGTAGAAAAATTGAAGAAATAAATTTACTAAACCATACCACTAATTGTTTATATAACTAACATATATAATATAGTATATAAATATACATAACTAGAGTATAATTATATTCTTTTGTTCAATAAACAACAATTCTTGCACAAGTCCTTGCTAAAGTAAAATGAAATTGTTATATTATCTCAGCGGTTTAGCGCCAAGTAGTAACTTCAGTAATATTGCCTTAAAATAAGTTATCCTTTAAGAAATTAATTATTTTCGCTGTAATAATAGCAACGCAAAATACGACGAAATTAATCGATTTATCGAGCTAGTGTATCTAATAATTTGACGTTACTGCATATTGTATATGCGACTTGCATGCTTTCCAAAATACGCGCTTGCATATAAAAAAATAAATCCGCTGTGTAAGCCGATTTTTTTGCTTTATATCAGATACATACGAGTCGCGTGTACATGGAATTTATAATATAAATTTATAATAATATTATGTAAAGATATGAATATATATATATGTGTGTGTGTGTGTGTGTGTGTGTGTGTGTGTGCGTGTGTGTGTATATTATATGTAATATACAAATATAATTATTTATGATATAAATTTTACATCACTAAGCACTTATTGATACGCTTATTATTGACAAAGAATATCTACCAACGTAATTTCCGTTCATTGATTTATTTACTAACAAAAACAATTGTTAAGGAAAGAACTACTCTGACTTTAAAAAAATTATTTTAGTTAAAAGGAGAGATCTTTAGCAATGTATAAGATCGTAACAATAATGCGTCTTGAGACGTCTGGAACAATTTCAAAATTTTTATTGAGCAAAATAGATGTCGTACATTTTTAATTATATATCCCAATATTATCTTTAAGTTCTTATTTATTTTTAGCTGTATACAGAAGCTTGTACGGATACAATGGATTAAATAGACATTCTTAGCATTAGATTTTTTTCTTCAATATATATATTAAACTAATTTCTCATAAAAATATAACGTGTTATTTCAAGCACGCGTCTTTTATGTGACGTATATATCATGTATTATGTAATATTACTTTATCAGTTAGTAGAAAGTCTATTTGTTAAAATAAGAAGAGTTTGAAATAATAATTTTATGTTAGATAAAATTAAGATAAAAATTCATAAAATTTTATGATGTACCCGTTTTGGTTGGATCTAAAACGCACAAAAGCTCAACGTATCTTCACTTCACTTAGCTGGGATTTTACATCGTGAAATCTTATGAACTTTCACATTCAACGATTCGCGCACTTCGAGCGAAGCCTTACTTGAATTTTTATCTCCGGTTACTCGTCTTTCACTGCCTGTATTTCAGCGTGACATATGCTGTTCAGATCTGTGAAAAAATTTTCTACGATTTGTTACTTTAAATTATACATATGGAGTTAAAGAAAGAGAAATGGAAATTATGACAGGTGTGTGTGTCAGAAAATAGGAAGACTTTTTTTTATGTTCTGTATAAATATTATGTTACACTGTACACACTCTTTACAATTTTACAACAGCAAGCCAACGAGCGAGTTTAGCTTGCCACATTATACACGCAGATAACTATTCACAACCGAATGAGGAGACAAGTCGAAAGCTTAACCAATAAAAAAACTAGTAACAAAAATCAACGAATTATTTTACGCTGTTCCAGATTCACTCCTGATTCTCAATTCATAAAAGAAATTTTCCATTTCGTTCACGATCGATTTGTCTACAAAGGAATTCATATAATTCATATTTCGATATATTGATCCTTTTATTTTGTGTAATTAAAATTTTTCTAAATATTCGTTTTTTTTTCAAATTTATCGTACTTTTATTGACATGGAATAAATATATTTTTTCTTTCTTTTTTTTTATTTGTTAAGCGAATGCTTCGAAACATTTAATGGCAGAAAACAGCATTTTTGCATTTTGCGAGTAGTTGACGCATTTCTTGAAAATGCTTGTATTATAATTGTGCCACATTTATACGATGTAATATTTATGTATAGACTTAGGTGCGCTGATTATCTTCATAATATCTTGTATATATTTTTTATATCAAAGGATAAAGCGCATGTCTTAACGACATATCTCTTTCTGATGTGAACGAATATTATTTATATAGTTTCACTAGCATCCTTACTATCTCGCTGGCACAGCTGGCATTTTCTCAAGGAAGTCTTGCTCGATTACAGTCTCCAGTTGCGTGTTATTTATCGGCACGTATGTGTCGCATGTAGCGCGACTAAGGCTCGAGAAGAAATGATGCAAATCTTGCAAAGAGCGAATGTTATTCGACGTTAGTAGAAGCTCTCCCGGATTTCTTTTGGGCGGTGGACCTTCTGGCTTGAACTGTAAAAAGAGCCAATTTTAAAATAAAAAAGGAAAATTCCTATTTAATACATGATAAGAGAACAATATGAAACAATACGTAAAGAAATGAAAAAATTACGTCTAAATAACGCTAAATATTGCACAACACTCGAGACGCACATTGGCTTAGTTGCAAAAATGAATGTGTATATATATATATATATATATGCTTTTGGTTTCTCACGTTCTAAAATAAAATAAGTATTTCAGTATTGCTGACAGCGTTTGTACACTAAGTTCTTGTAATTTTGAATCTCGTGATACATATATCAGTTATAGCAAATGCGAGATTTGGATAATTATTATTTAATAGAAATTTTTATTTTTCGGAAAAAAATGATTAACTAATGATATACTACCAGTAACAAAGGAATGAATCAAGAATTTTTCCGTAACGTAATAACAGTAATGTCTTTAAGTGGAACCGATATAAGAGCAGAGTCACAGTAATAATTGAGACTACTTATACAGTTTAATCCTAAGAGTGTACATCAAGTTTGTTGACCGTCTATACAGAAACAATCACAGCGATGGCCTGGCTGAAAATCTTATCTTATTACATTTTGTGCACTGTAATAGTTGTTACTGCACGTGAGTATCAAAGCAATATGATCATTTAAAAGATTCCTTCACATTTCTCTCTTTTAAAAGAAAAACATAGGCTTATATAATGATGCTTTCTTTCAATTCTCTTCTAGCATATTCTATTACTTTCTTTTTATACGGGATAAATTTATAATTTAAAAATTAAATTGTACCTTGACAATTTTATGAAAGAAAAATCAATTTTTAGAATTGATAAAAAAAAAAGATGAAAAAGAAATTTAAAAAAGTGTTAGTGAAGCATAATTCATCTATTCATTTTTTTTGTTTATGGTAATCATATTCTGAATGCTCTTGATACAATTGAATATGAATTTAATGTAAGTTAATTGACATTAATTATGAGAGCAAATATATATTAATGAAGAGATAGCTGCAGATAGAACAGCCTTTATTACGAAGTTAATTTAATCAATTCCATCTCCTCTTAAACGAGAAAATTATTTAATTTTTCTTTATTCTTATTTTAAACTAAGTTTTTTAAACATTAGGCAAATAAAAAGTATTAAACAAGAAACGTGATTCATCAAACATCGCATAATAATCTATTCATTTTTTAATATTTATTTAATTAAGTAAATAAAAGAAAATTATTTTTATTTATATTTTACTAATGTGCGTATTCAATTAATAACTATTGCGATAACTTAATTATTGTAATTATCACAGAGTACATGGGCGACTACGATTTTGATTTCTATGAAGATTTATCAACGGATCGCTCGAAAAATTTCAATAAAGAATACAACAGTATCGTGCAAGATGATTTTTACGTTGCAAACGATTTCGACGACACAGAGAATCAAGACGGCACGTATCCTAGTTCAAATTACGCTGTTTTTAGAAACAGTATTGATTCTTTTGGGAAGAGTCCCTTCGATAAGCAATTTAACTGGTACAAACTGTCTGAGAAAGTTTATAGATACACCAAGCACCGAATTCCCGGATATGATTACGATGAATTTGATTACATGCGTTCAAGGAAGATTCAAGAGTGCGACGACAAATCGGTTTGGACGCATTGTCTTTGCCAATTCACATGTTCGAAGCCGGATGAAGTGGACTGTTACACACCGTGCAGAAGTGGATGTGAATGCAAGGAAGAGTACGTTTTTGACGAAAAAGCACAAAGATGCCTGTTACCCGAGGAATGTTTGACAGAAGACTACAATTACAATTACTAAATTTTATATTCTCATTCTTAACATTCATTAAACTATTCTTATGCTACTCAACTGCGCCGAATAATTTATCATCTCACAAAAGCAAGATCAATTGCGGTAACTCACCTTACTGTCCATCAATTTCGCTATTCTTGTAATATGCGGCACAAAGTCCGAGGATAAGTTGTTATTGTCTGTACAACCTGCCGCTGCGTCTCCGACGAACGCCCATTTATACCTGTAAACGGGATAATACAGATTATCTCAGAATGAAATAAACGCAGCTTCAAAATTTTTCTCCTTCCACTTACATCTGAAACTGTGGTAATCTGTGCGCGGGCAACAGCAACGCGAGATCTAGCAGCTTGGCAGCAGCTAGCTGCAATTGCAACCAGTGAGGATGTCCGTGTGCTTGCAGTCCGTTGCTGGCGTTAACAGCCCATGACGAATCCAGAGCCGATAATAATTTGATGTGCGAACTGCGTGCAAAGAAATATAAATAATATGTCATTTAATATATTGCTAGCGGATGACAAAAAATTTTTTCGGAATTTGATATCCACAAGATACGAACAATACGCAATTTCCCTGTAGAGGTCAACCAACAAGATACAAGATTGTTATTAGTAATACCCTTTGACATTCATGTTCGACACAGTGATGTAAAGGGCTTTTTATGCTCCCAGGTTCTTTTAAATATATTTATATCTATAGCTATATATCTATATATTTGTATCTATGTAAGTACTTTTTTCTTAGCAAATACTTGCATCTAATCTTTTGAGTATTGATTTGTTTTTGAAGTACTTATTTTATCATACATATTCATACTCAAAATTGATAGTTTATGTAATGTAAAAATAATTTTAGTACGATATGAATATGACTTTTGTGCGCATTGTGAATTTATTTTAAACGTTATATTTCCAAGTATTAAAACTAAAGTATCTTTTACATCACTGTACTCGAGTTTCCTTACAACATTAACAGTATGCATACGCGTGCGGTATGTACGTCGGATATGCATTGGACCATTGAGTTACCTGCTGTGACGACTGCCGTCCCAACACCATTCAAGTTATGGAGGCACCACAAATCCCATCAAATCGCGAAGATGCCGAAACAAAGTCAAAACAGTACGATATTAGATAGTATCCATGTTAGTAGGGGGGAGGGACATACACAGACAAATATTCTGCTATTTAATATCCTCAATATCTATACATATATAAGATCACGAAAAGTGATAGTTTATATCACATAATTTTATCTCGTTTCTATTCCATGTATTATAAGACTCCATTGTTCGTTGCAATCACATTTCGAGAATTTTGAAAATATTGATGATTATTGATTTCAAAAGTAGTGGAATACCAATCATGCTAATAGTGTATATTAATAACTATTAATAATATATTTTCATAGAGAGATTTTGCATTTTTTGCGATGTTAACGAGTCTTAGAGAGAGATCAGAATATAATAATAATAATAATAATAACAATAATATAATAATAATAATAATAATAATAATAATAATAATAATAAATGGCAAGCCGATACTGATTGTTCATGTGTAATAAAATAACGCATATATTAAAAATATAATACTTTTGAAAGATTAAAAACATAATTTTAATACTTCAAGTAAATCGCGTATAAAGTAAACGTACATGCACATACGAAGCAACAGCGTCCCACAAGCAAATTTGTCCAAAATAAGCACATAGATTAGATAAATTTACGTACCTGAACTCTTCACTATCTGTATTCAATTCCTGCTCAATATAAAGGAATACTTGAACAAGCTCGCTAACTATAACTGGCCATAAGGACGTTGCGTGCTGTGGTGACATTCTCAATAGCAGTACGCGAAAACAGAGAAACACTTGTGCCTGAATAGACGGGATTACTTGAGGTAGACGTAAACTGTCTGCTAAACGTTCTAAAAATAAAATAATCAGTGTGTATGAAAACAATTAGATATACATAAGATAATCTATAAATGTATTTCGCAAATATGTGTACCTTGTATCTCCGGCATATATTTGTGATATTGATCCATTTCACTGCAAAGGATGACGAACGCCAAACGTTTCAAGAGCTGCGCTTTCTGCTCATATTCCTGTTCCTTTGAAGAAAATATACTGATCCCGCTGCCTTGAGCCATGGAAACGCGATCTATTTAACAGGTCAGTAATGTGTTAATATGTTTAATTATAATCGATACACGCATTACGTAAATGTAGTAAAAAAAAGTGTGTTACTCATTAAATCTCTGAAGGTAGTGTTGTCGTGCGTCATCAGATTGTCTATTATGGTTCTCCAATATGGCAGACAGGCCGGTATCATTTGGAAAAAGGCCGAGTCAAGTAACAAGTCTAAAACATCCTTGCGCCATGCCTTTCTTGTGTACTGATATCCTGATAAAGAAGCCAGTAGTTGAGAACAGGCGGTGAATGAGGCGATATTTTTTATCCTGTAAAATTAGATAAAGTAAGCAAAGTTCAAGTGTTATTCTTTCTCGTGTGAATCTTAGAGAAAAAACAAAATTTTTACAGTTGAACACAGCTAACTTACGTGTGATTCTTGAGATAAGGTGTAACATTATACATGAGATTTGTCAGGAGCGTTACCACACGTTCCTTCTCTTGCGAGCCATAACTGACATCCAATAGTGGTGCAAGTATTTCCGCTAATACCGCTTGCGCTTGAACACTGTATGCCGCGTTAGGTGGAGTTCCGGGTGTTACTGTAACACAAAGCTTTCAATGATAATCATGAATATACAGAGGAAAAATATAGAGCTAATTTGCAATTATCAACTGCATAAGCAAAAAAATAAAGATAAAGCGCGATAACAAAAAGATTTTGCAATTACGTTAAATATTCTTAACATATATCTATAAAATAAATTTCATGTTACGCACCAGCACCATTTTTTCCTTCTTTACCTTCCGAAGAACCTTCGACCACTTCAAAAACGTCCTCGCGGACGGCCAAATTCCTTCTTAGCCATGTTGTTTGCTCTAAACAGGCACCGGCTATTTGCGAACACGATTCGATCAACTAAAATATTTATTAAAAACATCCAGCAATTGTGTTAATTATTATATACAATACATAAATATATTATACAATAAATAAATAATAACCTTTGCAGACACGTCTTGCAAATCTTTGATATCTTTCTTCTCTTGCATAGGTGGACACTTTTGTACATATTCATTTAATATAGCCAGTAAGAGAAATTGAGCAGGTGCTGTTAGCGATAGACCATCCTTTAATAAACTAAACAAGGATGCCCAAGACTCAATAAGCGATTGCGACGTATTACTTTGCATATACACATAAAGTAATTCGAGCACTGAGACTTCCAATGAGAAATCTTGCTTGACACCATGTATCGGCGGTGGCGTTTTCACTACTTGATGTACGGTATGTACCAAAGTATCAATAGGCATAACACGAATCGCACTAACAAGGTGAACCATTACTTGCTGGTTAGGACACGCTTCTGGAAGTATCTGTAAAACAAATAGCAATTAGAAAAAAAATTTTTCCAAAACTGCTATTAGTTGTTCCTCATCTTATTATTTATTTTTTAAATTAGATACAGGATGTCCTTTACCTTTTTCGATGTGGCGGATGATTGGCGCCTTTCATGCCAGGCAACTGCGACTGCAGCCAAGAAGTTGGCTCCATGATGGAAAGAGATTGGAGACAGGAGTTCCAACAATTGATATTTGACTATTCTCGGACTACCCACCACACAACTGGCTTGTTCACTGTATAATATTATTAAAAGAATGCATTATATAATATAAATTTCCTACATATTTTTGATTAAAGAACACAAATAAAATATACTTGTCTTTTGTTGCCAAAACCGCTTGCCATAAGGCAGACAACGATGCTATTATTCTTGGCAAATGACTTAATGCTGTTCTCCTGGCATGTTGTTGCAGCTCATTTGCGCCACTTTTATCTTTAGCTGTGAATAAATCCTACAGCAAATAAAAACTTTGCTATAATGTACTGAATAAATCAAATATTGACTAATATTATATAATAATTGACTCTAATATCAAATAATATATTTCGTTCAACTAACCGGAGAAAGTGGGCTGGGCATAAAGACATGTATAAGATTGTTGAATATTTGCCCAGGATTAGCACCGGGAATTCCCGTTTGTATAGTACCACTTAATGGTTGATTAAATGAGAATCCGATTTGCTGGGAAGTATCCAACAGACAGTAATGGAGTAAATATGTCAAAGCTTCCAAATGTGTCACTGTGTAATCTGCAGGCAAACAGCATTCCACTGTGCTTATATCTTGCAATTTTGATGTCAATGTCGCATCTTCGTTAATATAATATGATGCCAGATGCTCAATATTACTGCATAATTGATGAATGACTGATGTTACAACAGATGTTAAAGACGGTCCCATAAAAGGCAGGCTGGATGTAACAAGGGTTGTCCAATGTTGATGAAGATGCCTCATATGATCCTACAAAATTTATATCCATTACAACAAATCATTTATCTCGTTGGAAATTAATTATCACTTTTCGCTTAATCAGATAAATTCATAATTTATACAATCAATTTTTATAATTTAAATATTATAATAAAAATATTCTATATAATTTAATAAAATAAATTAATTATCTTGTTATTGGTTATCTCTCTAAGAAATATGTAAATTTTAGAATTAATTTAACAATATATAATATATTGAAACAAATAACACATACGAGTTGCAAGGCGCTAAGAATACTAGCAAGAAACATTGGTTGCTGTGGTATTGCTGCCCCAGAAACATATTTCAATGTCAAACTATTCCCGATCAAATTTGATGCTCGCGTCGGCGAACTTAGTATGGGGGACGTTGTAGAATTAATTTCCTCTCCTTTTTGATTACTGCACTGATGCTCCAACATAATTAATGCTAACAATAACCTTGAAAAATAATAAATTAATTTTACCAAAAAATTATACAAATACAACTGAAAGTAATTATAAAGCTAATGTGAGTTTAGTTTCATCAGTCATGGATTAGTAAAAT